CTTGCTCCTCGCTGTGCCCGAGCTGCCCATGCGCTGGCGCACGTTGCGACTTCTACGTGACCTTCGTTCCGAGCAGGCTTGGTCGGTATGGGGCTAGGGTTCAGGGTTTAGGGTTTAGGGTTTAGGGTTTAGGGTTTAGGGTTTAGGGTTTAGGATTTAGGGTTCAGGGTTCAGGGTTCAGGGAAGATTTTGGGGTTTTCGAAAATAAGGGACCCCTAATATATGTAGACCCTTCAATTGTAGGATTCCAAAAAATTTAAGGACCCCCCCATAAGGTACGCCTAGTTTCAGAAACCGGCCATTTGGGCACGGTTGAAACTGAAAGTCTCCCTCTAAACCCTAGACCCTAAACACTAAACCCTAAACCCTAAACCCTAAACCCTAAACCCTAAACCCTAAACCCTGTCTCAGGAAAGCTTCATCTCCAGGTGTGCCGCCATCCAAGCAGCCTGTGCCGCTCCCCTTGTCTGCACTGATGGCATCTGCGTGCTCCGAAGCGAGGTGTCTTGGTTCGACTTTGCTGATTCCAGAGCTGGGTTTAGGGTTTAGGGTTTAGGGTGTAGGGTGTAGGGTGTAGGATGTCGGGTTTTAGAATTAGAACCAGACTTGTGGTACCACACTTCCATGTGGCCATGAGGTGAAAAATGTCATTGCCGCGCATCTTGCCTGCATTCCATGTCAATTTCGGGAACGAGCATTTTGACAACAGCCCGTATAGAATTTATCCCAATATAGCCCAATAATATCACAACTAGTAGTAGCCCAATATCTGTCAAAGTACTTTACCATATACAATTTATCCTCTTGTCAGCTGGTGTAACTCCACCAAAGGGGCATTCATTCAAATTATGGGTCAGACTGTTGATGGACAAAATCTTGCATGACCCCCTATGTTACACGTGTGCGACGGTTGGTAATCGAGCTCCCCGCGCCCCTCGAATTTCAATGTTGCGTGCGCATATGGGTGATGCAGGATTTCGGTCATTCACACACATGCAACTTCGAAGCATTGCAAGGACAGCAATGTTAAGATTGCAGGATTTCGTCCATCAACAGTCTGGAGACTGGCAAGTTTTCGGAAACTCTGGTCTCTAAAGTCACGGCTGACCACAGTCAACTGAGGGCCGTGTGTGAGGGGCCAGGATGGGGGCAGAAAGTCCGAAATATGGTATTTTTCAAGTTTCAAATTGTTTCCATAGTTTCAAATTAGTTTCCAATCAGTTTCAAATTAGTTTCAAAATCCAGTTGCAAAATCGCTGTTAAGGGGGAACTACAATTTCTGTCCGCGCTTTTTGAAAACCAGGAACCTCTGAGATTCCTTCATTTTTTTTGAATTGCGCATAGAAAAATGCAGTTTCCCCTTAACAGCGATTTTGCAACTGGATTTTGAAACTATTTTTGAAACTAATTTGAAACTACGGAAACGAATTTGAAACTTGAAAAACGCGGCATTTCTGCTCTTTGGCGCTTGGCCACACCCGAGCAAGAGGAGAGCTTAGGCTTGAATCTGCCAAAGGTACATCTCCGACATTCTTCCCAAAAACCATTCCAGCAACAACTCTTGCCAACAAGTCAGTAAATTATCTTGTCCGAGACAGTAGTATGGTAGTCGGGGTTTGTTATTGCCCCTGTCCGCGCCGATGGTGAGACGCTGATTCGGCAAAAGTTGGGCGGTGGTGGTGTAAATACCCAAACTGTGCGAGGCTATCCGAACTAAAACAGGGTTACGGTCCGTCAAACCCTGATTTGCATCATCCGTGCACTCGCATTGCATTGGGGAGGTGTGATAAAGGCGTGGACTTTGCAAGCATCACGTGCAGTAGTGTGAAATCGACCGTGATTGGATATAACCACGCATTCTGGATATGCTGCCAGTGACACTTGTGTAAAAGCACCGAGCATCACAGGCCCCGCTCGCGCGCGCGCGCATGCGCGTGCCCGCCTGCCCTACCTAGACCCTGAACCCTAAACCCCAAACCCCAAACCCCAAACCCCAAACCCCAAACCCTGAACCCTAAACCCCAGAACGAAGCCACGCCCCAGTGTTCTCAGTGCAGGCTGCACCACGGTATTCAGCCGAGCTGCGAGAGGCTGCAGGAGTCCTTTGCCACACCGAATGTTCTTGCTCTTATGAATGCTCAAGATAGTATCCGGATCATTCCTGCTATTGCGATGGCTGCCAGTATAAGTATTACAAATACAGAATCATGCTCCCCCTAAGCCCTAAGCCCTAAGCCCTCAACCCTTAACCCTAAACCCTAAACCCTATTTATACGAACATGTCCACCGCCAAGTTTCTCACAACTTGGCTTTGACCAGGAGTTGGTCTCCCGGACCCAGGCAGGGGACAGCACTGCAGCAACTCTCAGTACTCGTTTGGGTTCAGGGTTTAGGGTGTAGGGTTTAGGATTTAGGGTTCAGGGTTCATGGTTAGGGTTCAGGGTTAGGGCTGGGGGTTTTATATCCACACTTCACCTTTCTCACGTCGATGTGCCTCAGA